ATAACAGCATTCCAAATGAAACTGAAATTATGGCAAGCTTAAATTAAAGCAAACAACTTTATGCATTTCAACATATTGGCTAAACACAGTCCTGTGAACAGTGAAAAATATTCAGCCTTGCTTTTTGATTTTATACAAGAATTTTAAAACAGATTTCTGGGAAAATAATCAATATTTTGCTATATTTGTGACTCCATTTTCAGTTGACATAAATATGTTACCCATCAATTTTCAAATGGAATAGATAGAGCTGCAATCTGACATTGAACTTAAAGAAAAATTTGATCATGTCTCCACTGGACTTTTATAGGTCCTATCTTCCCAAAGACACATATCCCTTGCTTCACAATCATGCATTATTCAAATCATGGCTATATAGCAGCACCTATATTCGTGAGCATCTATTTTCAAGAATGAGACACATTAATATTGCAGAAACATCTCCCTGCCCCTGGGGGTCTTGTTATACAGGTTTAGAGTACTGGCAGAATGTCCCCATTAAATCCCAAAGTCCCTATAAAACACTCACCCACCCACCCACATACACAGTCCTGCCTCCCATTGCCAAACTAGGCCAGTCAGGGATACCATATCTTAGGAAAAGAAACAGAAGTCCATAGCTCAGCTATACTCCCATTATTAATTCAAAACTGCATCTTCATGGTGGGCTGATGGGAGTCCTTCTGCATTCTTTCAGACCATGTGGCCAAGAGAGAGAGCTCTGCTCAGCTGCTACATCCTGCTTTACTGCTTTCTAAACTGCGTGGTCAAGAGAGCCAGCTCTCTGCTCCCATACCACATGGCAAAGTCCCAGCATGGCAGCCACACCTAGGTATTAAATCCCAGCATGGATTTTCCTCCATGACCCCATTTCCAATTCCTCTCACACTGGGTTACACTTGTCAGTAATCTGCCTTTCTTGGCTACCACTGTTAGTCCGGGCAAATGTGGCCACCTGACACAGAAGTTGCCTCCAAGCTGCTCTCACAAGGCACAGGAAACCCCTACATCACATCATGGGTTAGAGTCATACCCATCTCCCTGTCTCTGAGCACTGGCAGAGCTTTTTGTTATTAAAATACTGACCAAGATCTTCAGGTATGAAATGTAGCTCTCAGTGGCCCTGCTTCATTTCCCGTATTTCCCAAATGATAGCCATCAGAGTTTTCTGCATTTGGGGGGAAACTCTAGCTCAGCACCCCATTACATTAGGAGTAAAATTAGAAACAAAATATATGATGAGCGCCTTGAAAACTCACTGAGAATTGCAACTACTTCTTTTTTTTATTTTTTATTGATTATGCCATTTCAGTTGTTCTATTCCCCCCTTCATTCCCCTCCACCCTACCCCCCCATCCCCACCATTACCCCCCCTTTAGTTTATGACCATGTGTCTCAAGTTCTTTAGATTCTATATTTCCCATACTACTCTTGCCCCCCCATCTATTTTCTATCTACCATCTATGCTACTTATTTTCTGTACCTTCTCCCCACTTCTCCTCTCACTCCCCTGTTGCTAACCCTCCTTGAGATCTTCATTTCTATATTTCCACCCCTGATCTAGCTGTCCTTTTAGTTTGCTTTTGTTTTAGGTGTGGTACTTAATAACTGTGAGTTTGCTGTCCTTTCACTGTTCATCTTTTTTTAACTTCTTTTTCTTAGGTAAGTTCCTTTAACATTTCAAATAATAAGGGCTTGGTGATGATGAACTCCTTGAATTTGATCTTATCTGAGAAGCACTTTATCTGTCCTTCCATTCTAAATGAAAGTTTTGCTGGATAGAGCAATCTTGGTTGTAGGTCTTTGGATTTCATGACTTGGAATACTTCTTTCCAGCCCCTTCTTGCCTGTAAGGTCTCTTTTGAGAAATCAGCTGACAGTCTGATGGGAACTCCTTTGTAGGTGACTGTCCCCTTAGCTCTTGCTGCTTCTAGGATTCTCTCCTTCATTTTAATCTTGGCTAATGTAATTATGATGTGCCTTGGTGTGTTTCTTCTTGGGTCCAACTTCTTTGGGACTCTCTGAGCTTCCTGGATTTCCTGGAAGTCTATTTCCTTTGCCAGATTGGGGAAATTCTCCCTTATTATTTGTTCAAATAAGTTTTTCACTGGTGGCTGTTCCTCTCCCCCTTCTGGTACCCCTATAATTCGGATGTTGGAGCATTTAAAGATGTCCTGGAGGTTCCTAAGACTCTCCTCATTTTTTTTAATTCTTGCTTCTTCATTCTTTTCTGTTTGACCATCATTTGCTTTCTTCTGGTCCACTCCATTGATTTGAGTCCCAGTTTCCTTTTCATCACTATTGGTTTCCTGTGCAATTCCATTCATTTCAATTAGTTTTGCCTTCATATGTTTGTCTAATTTGTGGCTATAATCAACCAGTTCTGTGAGGATCCTGATCACCAGTGTTTTAAACTGTGCATCTGAGAGTTTTGCTATTTCTTCATCGCTTAGATTTATAGGCTCTGGGGCTTTGAGATCTTCTTGAGCCATTCTTGGTCTGTTCGCGCTCATTAAGTATGAGGAGCAGAGCCTTGGACTCTCAGGTCGCTGGGTTGTGACGCTGTATGTGGGGGCATGGTCAGAGCGGGGAAATGGCGGCCCCCTCTGCTGTTTCACGCCGCTGGATGAGGAGCAGATCCTTAGGTGGTTCACCAGGGCAGGGCCACTCAGAGTCACTGGGTTATGATGCTATATGTGGAGGCAAGGTCAGAGCGGGTAAATGGTGGCACCATCTGCTGCCGCTTGCCTCGGGGACCCTCTGGGTCCCGTCCAATCTTCCACTCCCTCGCTTTTCTATCTGCACATGAATGCTCGACCACAGTCAACCCGCAGCCCTGCTCCCTCGCTGTTTCCCTGAGGTCGCTCACTGGGTCTCTCACTAGTTCCAACCCTGCGCCTGGGTTCCACGTGCCCGAGTCCATCTGACCAAGTTTTCTTGTGCAACACCACTCCGCCAGCTGCTGGTTTCACCCCTCATACTGGTCAGGCTGAAGAATTTATTGTTAACAGACTTCTGAAAAGTTCAATTTTCTGTGTTCTGACTGTGTTTTCTGTTGCTAATATATAATTGTCTCTAAACTTGGTTGCGTGAGAGAAAGCACGGTGTCTCTACCTATGCCTCCATCTTGGTGGAAGTCAAAATAGATATATTTTAAATTAAAAGAATCACCAACAAATAACTCACTGCTTCATACTGTGGTATAATGATAAAAGAATAATGTGAGAATGCAGGCCTTTTCAAGATGTATTTGTTAAGTGGAGAAAGTAAGTTCAAAACAGTACAGCCAGTGATCCCACTGGATTATACATTTAGTAAATGTATAATCATGCTTATACTTATTTATTTAAAAAGAGAGAGAGAGATCTGGGTGTTGAGTTTATGGGTAACTTTTTCTTCTCATGGTCTACCTTTTTTCACTATTTAAAAAAACTATGAACTTCCATTGTTTTTATAATGACAAATAAAGTTAAACAATGAAAGAGAAAAGGAGAGCTACATAATTTCAATTTCATTTTTTTAATAAGAAAATTTTCAAATGAAATATGGAGAACATTCTTAAGAATGTACAAAGTTCTGGATAGAGGAGGAGTAAAGATAAGATCTATTTGCTTTAAATGAGTTTAAGATTCCAGACCCAGGCAGATTATTACCCAGAGTCCTGTGAAAACTTTTAAATTAAGTCCCTGAAACCACTGCTAGTAAACTAGACAAATTCAGGGTGGCAACAAAGGATGAAAGATGGGTTAATGAAAAGAAGTTAAAGAGGCAGAATTTGCCTTAAATTGGAGCTGTTCATAAAAGGCATCATTTTCCCCCAGTGAACAGCTGTTTCCTGTGCCTGGACACGATGGAGCAGGAGCTAAGTGACATGTGTGTCCTACATGATGGGAGTTTGGACCTGGACAGGATGCTTGAAGAAGGATTGGTGGCCCTTACCAGTGTGGCTCAGTTCATTGCACATTTTTCTGCAAAGCAAAAGGTTGCTAGTTTTATTTCTGGTTGGGGGCACATGCCTGGTTTTTGGGTTTTGTCCTCGGTGTGTACACAGATGAGAGGAAACCAATTGATGTTTCTGTCTCACATTGATATTTCTCTCCATCTCTTTCTCACTCCCTTCCCCTGTCTTTAAAAATAAATAAATAAAATCCTTAAAAAAAAGGATTAATGGACCACAAAATTCCCATGATAAACCTAAAACTAATCTAAAAACACAAGTTTTCTTTTGGTTCTTATGAATGGTTAATGCACAAGTCATTGATTTTCATTTTACAAACAACACAGGGTCACTTATACATAAGCTATGTGACAAGATGACTTATTGAGGTGTCTCTTCCAACTTCCCACACACCTCCTCTCCCATTTCACTAAGCTGGGTAGGACCTTTGTGCCCCCTCAGCTCCACAATTAATCCTGTGCCTCAGAGGAAGTTGGAGGCTAGTACACCAAGAATAAAATTACTCAAAAGATGCTTTATCTTTTGATCTTTATTTTTCTAAAAACCAAACCTCATAAGATAAATCATGCTCTCATTCTCTGAAGACACCAATGGGAAGAGAAGCATCTTAGAGGCAAAGGCAGGGAAGAAGGAGGGGCCTTCCAGCATTTCCACTTTGCTCCCTGTGGAGAGTATTGATATTTAGGAAGGGTTAGGGAGGCTGGACCATAACTACCAGACTCCTGACCCCAAGGAAGCAGAAGCTTAAAGAGACCATGATTGGTTTAGAAAATGGACATAACAAAGAGGACACAAAACCCAGGAGAGTGGACTTGCAAGTTCTCTGCCCTGCGTGTATTTTTTCAGACTTCTGTTAAAAATCTGGGAAGAGAGGAGAAAGGACTTAATAACAATGGAAATTTAGTTTGCCTCCAGCCAAGGAGGCCAGGGGGTCAAAAGATTTAGTTTGATATAAAGAACTAATGAACTTTGTTAGCTTCTCAGAGAGGCTGCAGAGTGAGTCAGTGGTGGCGTCCAAGCAGCTCCTCCAGCAGATGCAGAGATGCAGATCTTGATGAAGACCCTGACTGTCAAGACAATCATCCTCAAGTTTGAGCCCAGTGACACCAGTGAGAATCCAAAAGCTATAATTCAAGGCAAGGAAGGCATCCTGCCTGACCAGCAGTGCCTGATTTTTGCAGGTAAACAGTTGGAGGAGTGCTGTACTCTCAGACTGCAACATTCAGAAAGAACCCACCCTGCACTTGTGTTTCATCTGTGGGGTAGCATCACTGAGCCCTTCCCCCACCAATTCATCCAAAAGTACAACTGTAGAAAGATGATCTGCTGCAAATTCTATGTCTGCCTGTACCTCAGTGCTGTCAACTGCCGCAAGAAAAAGTGTGGCCGTACCAACAACCTGTGCCCCAAGAAGGTTAAATAAGGCTCCTCCACCACCTCCTTGGGCCCACAGGATGGGGCCCAGGTTGTTTCTGCCTGAATCCTGTCACATGGTTCCTCAATAAAATTTCCCTTTCATTGACTGGAGAGGAAAGAAGGAAGGAGGGAAGGAAGGAAGGGAGGAAGGAAGGAAGGAAGGAAGGAAGGAAGGAAGGAAGGAAGGAAGGAAGGAAGGGAGGAGGGAGGGAGGGAGGGAGGGAGGGAGGGAGGGAGGGAGGGAGGGAGGGAGGGAGGGAGGGAGGGAGGGAGGAAGGAAGGAAATGAATTATTTTTAATACCTTAAATTTCTGAACTAAGTTTTATAACTGTTATTCTCACTAGGTGTGCTATGGTTACTGTTGTTAGAGTTGGAAGTGATGTCAAAGCTCTTGGTAAGTTAGCAGCAAGTGTGTGTACTTGGATAGTTGGCATTCCTGCAGTCCAGGAAAAGGATGCTATTTATCAGGGCATTAATAGTAATTTCTTGAGTAGAACATGTTCTCCAACTACTGTCATTCCTATTTTATTAATTACTGTTAGTTTATCCACATAATTTTCAATTAGTTTGTCAGTGGGTTCCACAACAACGAACTTCCATCACAATCATTATTTATCTCAATGTCCAGATTACCTCACATTAGACCACTGGGAACTCCTTCAACTTGGTCCCTCTGTTCCTTTGATATATCCCCATTAGTATTTAAGTTACGTTTTAACTTAATGGCACAGGATGTTTTGGGGCCACTTTGTACTTTCCCTGCTCCAGCCCTGGAGTCAGCCATTTCCAAAAACCCCTGGTTCCTTTTAGTAGAGGGTTGTATTTAGAAACCAAGATCTGCACTCTGCATGTGCTCATTATTCCTGGTACATCATTGCTTCCAGGCCCTCTCAGCAGATAGAGTTAGTAAATGTGTGTGCATGTGTGTACATGTGTATACATCCATACATACTACATGTACACATATACATGTAAGTATATTTCTATTTATATAAAACCATGAGTTTACTGATACCTCCACTTCCAAACCCACACCACAGGGCACACATTGTAGTCTTCCCTCTGTCCATATTTATAATTCCCTCCCCCAACACTGAGAAGCCTAGCTCTCATTATGCTGAATATATCCTGTTTATTTGCTCAAGACCTGAGTACACAGAAAGTAATTTCAGAGTTACTAACCTATACCGCTATGAGAGGTAAATCTACTAGCTAGAGTTAAATATGTCTTTATGGTTTCTTTTAGGTGAAATGTACACATATTAAATGTACAATGCAATGTGTTTTGGTGAATGCGTAAATCCAGTTATGGAAGATTTCTATCATTCTGGAAATTCTCTCAGGCTCCTTTGCAGTCACTTTTCATATCCCATCAGAGAGCCACAGTTTCAATCCACACCCATAGATTAGTTTTGCCTTTTCTATAACTTCATATAAGAAGAATCTTCCAGTATGTACTTTTTGATTTCCAATCTCTTCTGCTTAGTATCATGCCCTTAAGAGTTGCCCATGTTGTTGCATATATGAATGTTCCATCCTGGAATTTTTGGTCAAGATGGAGGCACAGGTAGACATGCTTTACCTCATCACACAACCACAAGAAGAATTACAACTAACCTCAAAACAAATAACACCCAGAACTTCCAGAAAAGCAAACTGTATGGGAGTCTGACAACCAAAGATTTAAAGAAGCCACACTCTGCCAGATGGGTAGGAGCGGTGGAGGTACAGATATGGAGCAGAGAGGTGAGGAGACATGATGTGGCACAGAAAGGTGGTGGTGGCAGAACGGGTGCTCCCACATTTAAGTGTGATGGATAAAAATCAGGAGGGATACATTGGGAGTGACCAATTCCAGCCCTAGGCAAGACCACATGGCCCGGGGTTCCAGCATCAGGAAGATAAAGTCCCAGAACTTCTGACTGTAAAAACTAGTGAGGATTAGGGCAGTGGAATAACCTTCTGGCTTCTCAGGAGAGTCTGTTTAAAGGGCCTCACAGACTTAGAATGTGTGCAAACCGGTCCATTTTTACATTTACCACCAGGGCAACATCAAGAAGGGCACCAGTTGCATACAGGAAGTGGGAAGAGTGACTGAAGACAAAGAGAGTGCCAGGCAAAACTCTAGAAGCCAGGCAACAGCATTGTCCCCTCTCTGAGCCCTCCCCACACAGAGCCACAAGCACTGAAACAGGTTGCCTCACCTTAGTGGACACCTAAGGCTCTGCCCCATACTTTAACAGGTGTGTTAAGACAGGGAGTCAAAGCGTCTCTTCCTAATACACAGAAACAAATTCAGGGAGGCTGTCAAATAGAGGGGACAAAGAAACATGGCCCAAATGAAAGAAGAAAAAACCCTGGAAAAATAACTAAACAAAATGGAGATAGCCAACGAATAAGCCGCAGATTCAAACTCCTGGTGATCAGGATGCTCAGAGAACTCACTTAGTATGGCAACAACGTAAAGGAAGAAATGAAGGTTACACTAAATGAAATAAAGCAAAACCTACAGGAAACCAACAGTGAAAGGAATGAAGCCAGGATTCAAATCAATGATTTGGAACATAAGAAAGAAATAAACACCCTGGCTAGTGTAGCTCAGTGGACTGAGTGTGGGCCTGGGAACCACACGATCGAGGTTCGTTTCCCAGTCAGGGCACATGCCTAGGTTGCAGGCCAGTTCCCAGAAGGGGACTCATGAGAGGCAACCATACATTGATATTTCTCTCCTTCCCTTCCTCTCTAAAGATAAATAAATAAGTAAATAAAAATCTTTAAAAAAAGAAATAAACATTCAACTAGAACAGAAAGAAGAAACAAGAATTTAAAAAGTGATGATAGTATAAGAAGACTCTGGGACATCTCCAAAAGTGCCAACATCCAAATCATAAGGACGCCAGAAGGAGAAGAGGAAGAGCAAGAAATTGAAAACTTAGTTGAAAAAATACCTCCCTAATTTGGCAACGGAAACAGACATGCAAATCCAGGACACTCAGAGAGTCCCAAAGAAGTTTGATCCAAGAAGAAACACACTAAGACACATCATAGTTAAGTTCCCCAAGATTAAAGATCAGGAGAGAATCTGAAAAAGAGCAAGAGAAAAGGAGGCAGTTACCTACAAAGAAAGTAAGACTATCAGCTGATTTCTTAAAAAAAACCTTACAGGCAAGAAGTGGCTGAAAAAAGTATTCAAGTCATGAAAGACAAGAACCTATATCCAAGATTACCCTATCCACCAAAGCTATCATTTAGAATGGAAGGGCAGATAAAGTGCTTCCCAGACAAAGTGAAGCTAAAGGAGTTCATTATCACTAAGCTCTCAATATATGAAATGTTAAAGAGACTTATTTCAGAAAAACAAGAAGATCAAAACTATGAACATTAAAATGACAACAAACAACAACTGAATCTAAAAAAAATTAAAATAAACTAAGCAGACAATCAGAACAGGAACAGAATCATAGATATGGAGATCATTTGGAGGGCTATTAGCTTGGAGGGAGAAGGAGGAGAATGAGGGAAAAGGTGCAGGGATTAAGAATAATAATTGGGGTGGATCTGTTACCGAACAAGAGGTCCGAGGGACGGGCAATACAATATTTGGCCCTGTTAGGGGCTAAGGGAAATAGTCTTAAGAAAACTAAGTTGTTTGTTCAAGCTTAGCTGCTTGCTCAAGCTTGGGTGAGGGGACTGCACCCCCACCCCTGGGCAAATGTTCCAGGAAGTTAAGCAGATAGCTTCTTGGAGCATCCAATGGGGGGGGGGGAATTTTTACCCCTAGCATGAGCCCCTAGGCCAATGGCTAACCTGAGCACGAGCTGTTCATGAGCCCTGCCAGCCAATCATCAGCAAGATCACGAGCCCTAGCATAAGCCCCTGAGCCAGTAGCTAACTGCCACCTTTTGCTTCTGGAAGTTGCTTGCTTGCTCGCTTCTATAAGAACCCTAGCCTGTAAGCATTAGGCGCGACTCTCATTTGCAGCCATTTTGGCACTCGTGTGTCTCTGGAGGCACCCCGAGAGTTCGCCCCTGCGCAGGTAAAACTTTGAAACTTTGGCCAAGAAAACACCTCTGACTACCGAGCAGTCTCCGACCCTTCTTGCTCGCAAGGAGGGGATGTAACAGCCCACCTAGGGATGCCAAATATTGTTACACAACAGGGGCCCCTCCCAAAAACAAAATACTAATATCTACTGGGCTCTTCTGTCCGCCGCCAATTTGAAAGACATCTCTCAATGCCAGAGATTTGTGAAAAGGAAACAAAATGTTTATTTAGTGCTATTCAGGCCTAATGCCTCTACTAAAATATCAAAGTCCTTTAGGTTGTACACCTATACCCACACAGCACTCCCTTCTCCCACTGTCCCAACTCTGGGTACCGTAAATCAGGAAAAGAGCACACATCTGTGTTTCAGGCCGCTGGCACCGTCAGCTGTGTCACTGTGCAGGATCTCGAGTTAATCCAAAATACTGTGGTACCCTCTCATGGTCCACTGGCAAGAGTCCTTTGTACCCAGTTCCAATCAAAGTCTCTCTTGCTTTTCAGGCCCCGCGGCCAAAGGGGGCACCCCAAAGCCGCGTGGGCCTCTTCTACCAAAGCTGCAGGGGTCCGCACTCCACCAAAAGCATGTGGCTTTCTTCTTCACTTGGCTGCAGGGATCTCCATTCTGGCAAAGCTGCGTGGTTTTTCCCTTTCACCTGGGAAAGAGGGGGTCCACACCCTGCCAAAACCACATGGCTCCCTCTTTCACCTCACCGAGAGGGGGTCCTCACTCTGCTGAAACTGAGTGGCTCTCCCTCTCACCTGGGCAGTTATCCCCTCATGTCCCAGAGCCAGTCTTTTCCAAGCTCTCACACAGGCTTCTTACTCAGGAGCACAGCCCCTAGTTACATTCTGAGTCCAAACCCTTCTCACTCAGGGGCGCAGCCCCTCTTTCCATCCTGAGTTTCAGCTACTCCCTTCTCCCTGGCTCCAAACTTGGCCACTACTATTTAACATATCTATGA